CAGGGTCGGTCGGGAGCAATTGGGCACGAAATAAAAAGCCTTTACCAGTCGATATAGACCCTCGTTTCCCGGGTATGAATCGTACACAGATTCGCAATGCCAAACGCAGGTATGCTGCAAAGTATGGGAAAAGAGGTCCTTCAGCAGAACAACTAACCGACGAACAAAAAGCAGCCGACCACTTGGCAGGAGGTCAGTCCATTCGGATCTTTACAGAACAAACGACCAAAGAGCAGGGAATAACCATTCAGTCTCCAGTTGGTCGGTCCAGTCGGGTCTGGTCAGGAAAGCAACCGAATGACGGATTAGGCGCTTCCGACCATACCAAAAGAAGTTCGTCGGGACTGGGGAAAGGTAAAGGTGTGGCAGATGAAATAATTAAAGGTTTTAGATGCCAACATTGTGAACGAATCAACATCAATCCATCTTTTGAAGACTTCCGTATAGAATCTTTGACGCTTCAACCTCAGAACAAGACGAAGGAAGAAGTTATAACTACAGAGGAAAGTTTAAGGTCTGTTAAATCTCGTCTGGGACCACGAATCCCTTGTCGAATGACAGAGATTAATCAGATGAGTGATGAACCGACGTGGGCGAGTCTGGTAGATGAAACTATGGACGAACCTTTATGGGCTTTCTTGGCAGATGGTGAATTAGAGGAGACAGAGGGAGCAAAGACTTCAGATTCTGAGCCTCAACCGGAGCCACCTTCGATTGTGTTTCCTCCTATTCCAGAGGGTGCGATCTCCCATTTGAAGCCTCTGTATGTTAATGCTCATATTTGTGGGAAACCAATCACAAAGGTTTTCGTGGATAATGGAGCAGTTTTTAATGTTATGCCATTGAAGACTCTCAAGAAGTTAGGAAAAGGAATACATGATCTATCTCCTGTGGAATTCGAAATGACAAGTTTTACAGGGCAACCGACCAAGCCGGAAGGCATGATGGTTGCCACAATCGAGGTCGGACCAAAGAAGATCTCTACTGTTTTCTTTATTGTGGACGCAGATACTACATACTCTCTCTTGCTGGGAAGAGACTGGATTCATGCCTCTCAATGTGTGCCTTCAACCCTGCACCAACAATTAATGTTCTGGGAGGGAAATCAAGTCTTCAAAATGGAAGCGAATGACAACCCATTCGATGTAACCGAACAAGTTGAAGAGTCAGTGTTTTATTCCAGTCAGGTGGCTCCGATGTCTCAGTTGTACATGGCCAGGGAATACCCAATCAAGGGTTATAAAGTCACTGGCCAGAACTCGATGTTCTATTAAAAGAACACCTTTATTGTATGGCTCATGATAAAGCCACACCCATTCCCGTATAATTTGTTTGTAATGGAAGATACAAGCTTAGAAGTATGTAGTTCTCTTATTAATAAGTTCTATTTAAAGCAGTTATTATATAAAGCAGAAAATAGTAAAGAGATTCTGGATGTTCACCTCCAAGAAGATGAACAATTTCGCTGGCCCGATTATTAGAAAAAACAGAACCAACAGCTTCATCACAAGACCCATTATTGGAGTTTAATTTAGGAACCGAATTGGTTCCAAAAGTGATCAGGTTAAGTGGTTATTTGTCTAAAGAGCAACAAACAATGATGCTCGAAGTTATTAGAAACAACATTGATTGTTTAGCATGGGATTATTCAGAGATGCCTGGTTTGACAAGAAGTCTAATAGAGCATCGATTGCCCATCAAAGAAGGTTGTAAACCTTACAAACAACCTCCAAGGCGAATGAGTCCAGATCTGATGCCTCAAATCAAGGAAGAAATCCAAAAACTTCTCAAAGTGGGTTTCATTCAACCTTGCCGTTATGCGGAGTGGCTGGCTAATATTGTGCCAGTGGTCAAGAAAAATGGTAAGATAAGGATATGCATCGACTTCAGGGATTTGAATCTAGCTACCCCTAAGGACGAATATGTGATGCCTATGGCCGACATGCTGATAGATGCAGCAGCAGGGCATAAAATCCTTAGTCTGATGGATGGTTATGCAGGTTACAACCAAATATTCTTGGCAGAAGAAGACATTCCTAAGACAGCATTCAGATGCCCAGGGGCTTTGGGTATTTATGAATGGACAGTCATGCCATTCGGGTTAAAGAATGCAGGGGCAACTTACCAAAGAGCCATGAATTCAATCTTTCATGATTTAATTGGCAGATCTATGGAAGTGTATATTGATGATGTTATAGTTAAATCTGCCAGTTTTGACGAACATTTGAGGGATCTTGAAGAGGCATTTGAAAGAATGAAGAAGTACAAGTTGAAGATGAATCCAACCAAATGTGCTTTTGGAATATCAGCCGGGAGCTTTCTAGGATTCTTAGTTCATGAGAGAGGAATTGAAATTGATGCCAACAAGGCTAAAGCCATTCTTGATAGTCGGCCACCCAAGACGGTTACAGAAATCCAGAGTCTGTTGGGTAAGGTGAATTATTTGAGGCGTTTCATTTCTAATGCTGCTGGCAAGGTCAGACCTATTACTAAATTGTTGAAAGCTGGAAAGATTGCCTTTGAATGGGGGCCCGACCAACAAACGGCTTTAGATGCTATCAAGCAGGCATTGGTTCACCCTCCAGTCTTGATGCCTCCCAAACAAGGTCGGCCACTCAAACTTTATTTGGCAAATACATATGAAGTGGTTAGTTGTTTATTGGCGCAGGATGGTGATGACGGGAAGGAAAGGGCAATTTACTATCTCAGTAAAACCCTTACAGGACCAGAATTGAATTACACTATGCCAGAAAAAATGTGTTATTCATTGGTCTTCGCTTGCACTAAACTCGAGCATTATTTGCTGCCCAGAAGAGTTGAGGTCATATCAAAGGTGGATCTCATCAAATTGATTTTACAGAGACCTACTATGAAGGGCAGACTCATGAAATGGGCCATCAAATTGGCTCCTTTCGATCTTCAACATTCCCCGCTGAGGGCAATTAAGGGACAAGCAGTAGCCGACTTCTTGGCAGAATTCTCACAAGTCGGGTATTCTCTTTGTGATAGTGTCCGACCATTTAGTTGCTCATCATATCTGGATAATCTACAGGTCGGATGTGTGCCATATATAAGTACCAGAACATGGTTGATGTTCTTTGATGGTTCTACCTCTGGAAACAAATCAGGGGCAGGGGTCTTTTTGCAAGGACCTGATGGTCAAAAGATCAACTTACAATTACGATTGGAAGCCATGACCCATAATTCGGCAGAATATGAGGCTTTAATTTTGGGTCTGGAGGCTTTAATAGCCAGGAAGGTCCAGTCTGTAATCATAAGAGGGGATTCTCAACTAGTAATCAACCAGGTAAACAACCAATATGTTTGTAATTACCCTCATCTCCGTAGATACAGGGACATTGTGGGTCGGTTACTGACGAAAATCTCAGAAGTAATAATTGAGTTCATTCCGAGGAAAGAAAACCAACGTGCCGATGAGTTGGCTCAAAGGGCTTGTAAAGGAATTCTGGAGGATATGTGGTCGGAGATCAAGTCGGGCATAGAAGAAAAGACAGACCCAATATATGACCAAACGGTCGGGCAAGAGGCTATTGGACAGGATCCCGACTGCAAAGTTACGGTCGGGCAAGAGGCTATTGGACAGGATCCCGACTGCAAAGTTACGGTCGGGCAAGAGGCTATTGGACAGGATCCCGACTGCGAAGTTCTGGTCGAGCAGGAGACTGTCGGACAGGAGCCCGACTGCGAAACAGTGCCCGATTGGAGAACAGAGCTTATCCTGTATTTACAGAATCCTGGTGCGAGTGTTTCAATTGCGACACGATTGAAGGCTTTACGTTTTCAATTGATAAATGGAATTTTGTATAAGAGATCATTTGAAGGTTTACTTTTGAAATGCTTGGGATCTAAAGAAGCTCTAGAAGTGATGACAGAAGTACATGGTGGGATATGTGGAGCTCATCGGGCAGGTCTCAATATGAGATGGGCCATTCATCGCTTGGGGTTTTTCTGGCCAAAGATTTTTGAAGACTGCATACAATTTGCCAAAGGCTGCCAGGAATGTCAGAGACATGGAAACTTAAACCATTTGCCAGTAACCGAATTGCAATTCTTGGCAAAACCATGGCCTTTTAAATCATGGGCTATGGATATTATTGGTAAGATACATCCTGCTTCATCGAAACATCATTGTTTCATATTGGTCGCGACTGATTACTTTACCAAATGGGTAGAAGCAGTTGCTTTGAAAAATGTGGATCAGAAAGAAGTGATAGACTTCGTTTTGAACCAAATTATTTACAGATATGGTATTCCTCAGTCTATAACAACCGACCAAGGCTTGGTCTTTACAGGGGAAAAGTTCTCTAATTTCTTGGCAGAATTCGGTGTTCGGTTACATCATTCTTCACCTTATTATCCCCAAGCCAATGGACAGGCGGAAGCAGCAAATAAGATTATCATTGGGATTATAAAGAAGATGATTGAAGGGAACCCAAGAAAGTGGCATTTGTTATTGTCTCAGGCTTTATGGGCACATAGAAATACCAGAAATACGGCCACAGGGTTCTCGCCGTACCAACTTACGTTTGGCCAAGATGCTGTTTTACCAGCCGAAATTCGGGCATCATCCGGCCGAACAGAATTTACTGATAGTGATCTTACAAAGGAATACCAACAACTTATGTTGCAGCAGTTAGAAGATTTGGATGTTAACCGTCTCCATGCAATAGATCGAAGTGTGAAACAGAGTGAAATCAGAGCAAGGAGTTACGGAAAGAAAGTTCTTCACAGGACATTCCAAAAAGGAGACCTAGTCTGGAAGACCATTCTTCCTACATATAAGAAAACTGATCAATTGGGAAAGTGGTCACCGAATTGGGAAGGACCATACATTGTTCAAAAAGATATTGGAAATGGCGCGTTCATTATTGTAAATCATGAAGGTAGAAGAGTACATGATTGTATTAATGCTAAATATCTGAAGAGGTATTATCCTGCCTTTTCAGATAACAAAACTGCCTGAAACCACATATTATTCAGAACCCATTTATGGGGGTTCGAACCTACTGGAAGGTTCATTTCTGTTAGTCATCGTGTGGTTGTGAGAACTTTTCTGTCTCTGAATCAGACTTCTCATCCCAGTGAGTGGATATTAGCTCTGGTTCTTCTTCAATAAGATCTTCCAAGTCTGGTCGGTACCTTTCCCATTGGCTTTGCATGTCATCTAGATCTTGGTGGGTACGTGCTTGCATGTCTGTTAGGGCTTGATGTTCACGATCAACGATGGTCCGCAATCTTGAAAAGACTTTTCGTTGGTTGGAAAATAGGTTATCCCAACCAAGATCTGGAAGTATGTTTGCTGCGTGATTTTCGATCATTTCCATGTGATGATGGAGATCAGGGATGCGGCTGAGGATGTCATGAAGAGGTTCATACCCCTCAATGACTTTTTCCATCAGGCGGATGACGCGATGAATAGTTCTTCTACCTCGTTGGGAGAATCGGAATTTGAAGTCTAGTTGCTTGAGTATATGTAACAAGTCTTCTGCATGGCCTCCAATAGGGTGATTACCTACAAAGAAGGGTTGAAGAACACCCTCCCAGTTGCTTGATGGAACATGAGGTCGGTCATTCGCCATGTTTGTTAACACTTTCAGTGTGCCTGGGAATGTGTTTCTTGAAATGTGAGAAACAATGTTCTTTTAAAGAAGGAGTTTGGTTCGTTTCCTATAAAGCTGGGAATTGAAAGGTGATCCTTGTTTTGAGAGAAGAAAGAAAAAATGGATTACTAAGTCAGTTGTTGTTACAAAGGGGGAAATATTACAATAGTGCCCCTAGGGCAGTTTTTATCTGTGTCCATTTGTTTTCATCCCTGGATAGCCTTCTGGTATTGGCAGCCATCTGATATCTTCTGATGAATTGGGATCGGGCTTGGGTTTTCAGCTCTTGATCCAATTCAGCCTCATTTTTGGTATACTTCTCAAGCAGATGCTGTTCATTGGTAATTTGCTTATCCAGGGTAGACTGTTCTTTCCTCAGCTCCCGCAATTCTGCCTCCTTTTTCTGAATGGCATCATCAACCAGAGCTTTCGTGCTAAGGAGACCACCCAGTCTTCCAGTAGTTTGCTGAAGGGATTCTCGAGTCTTGGTCAAAGAATTCTCCAGCGTTGTTTGATCGAAGTCGGGCTGGGGGGTTTCGGCTGACAGAAGGCCAATGACTACCACTTCAGTCTTGAGCTCTGTAAGTCTTTCCATCAGCCGATGCAGAATGGGGACGGCTGGTGATTCCGTTGGAGTGTAAAAAAGAAGGCCACCAACCGTCTGAATGAGTTTGTCCAATAAGTCGGACCTTAGTTCGGACAGGGGACGGTTAATGGCCTCAGTGAACACAGTCTGGGCCTCCGCTGGAACCGGAACAGTCGATAGGACAGCTAAGTCCGAAGGCCCCTGCAAGTCCTACAATGTCAATACATATTCCAAGGGAGTTGCAAATTTGTTCGGAGAAAATATGTGGTACCTCTGGGCGGACTGCTGTCAGTGAGGGGGGCAGCAATGAGGTCGGTCGAGTTGGGCAGACAGCTGGTATAATAGCAGCCGACTCGTCGGCTGCTGCGAATGGTCGCTGAGGTGCCGACCTGGGTCCCTATAGAAAGTAGTATTGGAAACAGTTAGTGTTTTTCGAAAGAAAAGTTATGACCTGGATTGGTTTAATCTTACCAAATTCACAGAAGTCTCCGAATCGGATGAAGACATTTCTCCCATTTCTGGAGGTTGGGCTGCCACGGGTGGTTCTTCTGCCTGCCATTCGATGGCTAGAGGGAGTGCCGCTGCTGGTAGGGCGGCTGCAGGTTGGACGGCTACCTCTAGAGCCACTGCAGCCAGGATCTCTGGGGCACCTTCGATTTCGGGATCAGCAGCATCAGGGATGTCGTTTTGAAGGTCAGTTTCGGCGAGGGCGGCTGGTTCTTCCTTTGATATAGATGAGTCTGATGCCATGTATGGCGGCCGACCCATCTGGGAAGTAGTCCCCTCGCTGTCAGAAGAGACCCCTGCTGCTGATGGGATGGGTGAAGGTGTCTGTGGAAAAATCATGAAGATGTTTGTTGTTAACTATATCAAGGTTGATCATTAGAATACTAAGGAGTGCTGGTGAGAGAACTTACTGGTTCTGTAGGTACTGCTGGTAAAGATTGTCTCCTGGTCGGGGGCCTGGCCCGACCACTCCTCGGTGCGGGAGGAAGAGTTTGCCTCCGCGTCGGGTCCTCCGCCCGATTGCTCATTGGCAAATTGGTCTGGACCAAAGGCCCGATTGAATGGTCGGTTGGTGCTGGCGTCGGTTGCTTGGTCGGTGTCACCAAGGTCGGTTCTGGGGAATGAAATGAGTAGAATCAAAGTTACGATTTAGTGAATTGGTTCACGGTGTTAAGAAACATTACCAATTCGGGGTCGGGTCCTTGCTGACGTCCTATTTATTCCAAGGTCTGCTAGTGTTTGTTGGTCGGTCTCCGAGGTCGGGGGTGTTTGCAATTGGGAAGTTTTTCTTTTGCGCGTGGGACCACCAGATCCGATTCCCGGGGCGGTTGTATGTTTTTGGGTGCTAGTATGTATCGCCGTCCCTAGAACCAGTCCTTGGGGAGGGAGGAGGACGTTCAGCAACCGACTCTCATCAGGGGATATCAGGGACCATACGACCGACCACCATTCATTGAAAGTATCTACGATCTCAGGGTTGGAGCGGAAAGGAATATAAGAATTGGAAATTATATACGTGGTGAGCTGGGAGATATAAGAAGGGATTGAATTAGGAAGGACTCGTCGGTCGGGGCTTTGAAAAATTATTTGGGGACACGCGACGGGTCCAGGGATACCTTGGCAACAGCCGAACTGGCGCGCCATGAATTGAGGTTCATAGTTAAAAGTGTAAAAAGTTTTCTGCCCTTTTTTATCAAGTTTCTTGCTACTAAAAAGAGACCTGGGTTTGAGGGCGACGTCCCAGGCGAAAGGATAGGTGGGATGAGGACAAGGCTCAGGAGTCGGAAGTGGGTTTGGTACTGGAAAGGGCCAAAAATGGTCGGGAGCATAACCCGCATATTTTTTATACATAGAAAATCGAGAGTTACTGCGGGTATCTGTTAAAATGGCAGTTATTATTGGGTCGGATGATTGGAGTTTATTGCGTCCTGAGCAGAGTCGGTTGAGGATTAATCCTAAATGTTTTTCAGACGTTGGCATAGTGGGCGGAGATCCTAAGTTAAACGCGTTGGGAAAGTAAAGACGGGACCAAAGTTCTAAAAACCAAAAAGGACCCGACGCGGCAGTGTCTAATTTCCTATTATCGTTATCTGTTAAACGAAGGCTAACCCTGGTGAGTCCTTCGAACAGATTGGCTAAAAATAGAGTACCAAGGGAGAAGAACCGACCTGACGCAATATGAATGGCCAGGTCGAGGTGGGAAGGAAGAACACTTTTGGAAGGAGAAACAATGATGTACCTACAAAGCCAGAACAGAATAAAGGCAGTATGCTCCCGGTCGGTTACAGGAGTCCCTGGAGCCCCTTGCTGGTCGGTTGCGAACTTTGTCCAACCCCATTCCTTCACACTTTGTAAGGACCATCCCGGATGGTCTTCTGATGGCTCCTGCCCATCTAGGGCTCCCATTACAGGGTCTTCACCCACGATTGGGAGATGTGCGATCATGGCCACGTCCATAAGAGTTGGGCCAAAGGGGCCTGATGGGAAGAGGAAAGTCCCATTTTCCGCATTCCAGAAGGCAGACATGGCCAACAACACCTTCTCATGCAGGTTGATAGGCATGGTGGACAGCAATATTGCTTGGTCGATTTTTTGGGAACGCCATTGGGTCTGGAAGTGTTCTGCTACTCGTCGATACCAAGCGCGATACAGATCTTTTGGGTCTGTGAGATGGGTTTTGATGCTGTCCCGGATGCGAACTGCTTGGTAGTTGGGATTGTTGATAGCCAAGGGGTTGCGAGATTCCAAAACTTCCCTCATCCGATTTGAATCTTCAGGAGTAGTGCAATATGGACGGATCGTCGGAGTTAGTACTTTCGAAGCTGAAAATGGACCTTCTGGAAGGGTTCCGTCGAAAGGAAGGGCAGGCATGTATTGATTCGCCATAGTTAGAATGTTTTGGGATTGTGATTCACACAGGCTTGTATTGCGAAGAAGGAAGTTTATCAGGAGTGTTGCAGTAACTGGTGCAGTTGCTAAGGGAGTTTTTCAAGAGGGTAGTGATTTATGAACTTCCAAACATTGATTGCTAAATGGCGTTTGAAAGTCCCTTGGCGGCGGGCAAGTTGTTACGTACGAAATTTAGAATTAGGTTAAAAGCCCAAGGTAAAAAGAAGAATGGGCCTGACAATAGGGTTGATTGAACTGGCTGAAGGACACCGTGAGGAAATCAAGGAAAATAAATTTATTTATTTATTTCTAAGGAAAATACAGGACGGAAGGACCTCAGGTCGGTAGGTCCTCAGGACGGAAAGACCTCAGGTCGGAAGGTTTTCAGGTCGGGAGGTCCGCCAGACGGGAAGACCTCAAGTCGGAAGGTCTTCAGGTCGGGAGGCCCTCAAGATGAAAGACCTCAAGTCGGAAGGTCTTCAGGTCGGGAGGTCCGCAAGACGGAAAGACCTCAAGTCGGAAGGTCTTCAGGTCGGGAGGTCCGCAAGACGGAAAGACCTCAAGTCGGAAGGTTTTCAAGTCGGGAGATCCTCGAGACAGAAAGTCGTTGAGATGGGATATCCGCAGGTCGGGTAAACTGTAGGTCGGATAGAAGGAGGAGTCGGACAAACACGGAGGCCTTTGATCAAATATAGGGGGCGGTTGATATGGAGGTCGGCCCAAGTGGGGTCGGGCGAAGAAGTAGGTCGGACGAAGGACGAAGTCGGGCCAAAAGAGCGGAAGGTCTGTAGTTGGCTCAAGGAGTGAAATATAGGGATTTTTGGTCTGCTGGGGACACGTGTCAGCATAAGAAAGGTTGGAAGACGGTTGAGAAGGAGACGTTGTAACCGTTCGGGTGACGGTTTTCAGTACGGTTTCCCAGGGAATATTTAAGGATTTGGATCATCATTTGGCAAGGCATCTTCAATCAACTTCAACAAAGCAAAGTCAGATTTGGGGATCACCACTTTAAATTTCAGTATTTTATTTTCCAGTTTAGTTTCTGTACGTTACAGTGTTTAGAGATTCCTAATCTCAGGCACTAATTAATCAAGTTTAAGGATATTTTCTATGTCTTTGAATTTTACTTTATTTTTGTTGAAAAAATACATCAACAATTAGAAATTAGTGGAACAAATTACATAATTATAGTGAAATTAGAGAGATTGAAATATCTTGGCACAATACTTACGGCAGGTCAAATACACAATTACTGCATGGTATAAATAAAAACAATGCTCCATCCGTCCCAAAACTATAGTTTGGGTTGTGTTTGGTACGAGATTTAAGAAATATTGATATTATATCGGTAATTGGTAAAAAGCATGGGTAAAAAACTTTTTTGTCCTTGTGAGTGTATTAGTATAAAAAGTAATGACAATTGTGTAATAATAACGAAAAAGTAAGAGTAATTTTATAGTAATATGATTATTTATGAAAATAAGACTATTGTTTTGGGACGGACAAAAATGATAAACATGACTATTATATTGGGACAGAGGGAGTATATGTTTTGTTAAATTAAATCACATAATTGTTTTGTTTTGGTTTTTTGTTTTTTCCTATATATTGAGTTAAGATCAACTACTACCTCTGTCCACCATCAATTTATCCGTTTACTTTTTGCATGTTAATATTTGAATGCTAAATATTATATCAAAACATAGTACAAATAAAGAAAAAACGATAAAAATATTTATATCGGTGTCTTATAATACTAATGTAATGATATTTGTACAAAAAATTATACAAATATAAGAATATTTTTATTGTTAAAAACAAAGACGCCAAATGCAAATGGATAGATTGACGGTGGACTGAGGTAGTGTTAATTGTGTTATGTTTAACTATACAATGTATTCTCCTTTCTATCTTAACATAATACACCCTTCACCCCAGACATTGGGGACATTTGAGTTCAGCACCAAAATTTAAGTGGGTGATATTAAATAAAATAATTAAAAATAATTTTGAGATTAGATAATGTGATTGGAGAGAAAAATGCATATTTATCTATTTTATTTGAATGATATAATCAAATAAAATAAAAAATATATATAATTAATTAATTATTTTTAAATTAAAAAATGTTACATTAAATTTAGGACAAATAAAAAAAAAGATGTTCCATAATATTTGAGACGAAAAGAGTACAATTGTAACACCAAACAACACAATTTATAATTTATTTGAATATAATATATAATCAAATATAACACAATTTATACAGTTAAAAGCAATATAATTACAAGTCAGTATTTTTGTTTAACATAGTATATGTTGTATTAAAGATTATGCTAATGTGTGCTAATTTTATAATACATCCTTAATGAATAAATAAAAGAATCAGTATGTTATTGATTTTTTTTGTCAATTGCATATTTGGAAATTAAAATATAAATATAAAATGATTAAAAAATATAATAAATATTTTAAAAATATTATATATTAAAAAAAAAAAACTAACCGAATTTGGAACGGCACGCTTGACGGTTTTCATGTCGTCCAATCGGAACCTCGCCGTCGCCAATTTCCGCGGCCAGAGCTCCACTCCATCGCCGCCGCTCACGGCGGTCCTTCTATCTCTTCGCCAGAGTATTCTCAGCGCTATCTCTAAAACATAAATCACAGTAAACCAAACAATCTTCACCAGCGTCGGAACAGTCCACCGCCTCGGCATAAACGACGACGTATCGACGCCGCGGATAGACGGCGTCTGCGAAGGATCGTCAATCCTTCTACAGAACGACAGCAGCATCGCCATCAAATAGACGCCGTCACCCAGCGCGTGGTGCACACGGAAAACCGCCGATTTGTGCGCAACGAGGATGTGGATTTCCCAGAGCGGTTTGTCGGCGGGGAGCGGCGACGAATTGGAGAGATCGGCGAGGTAATCGTTCACGGCGTCTTCGTCGGAGACGGAAGGATCTTCGGAGAGACGGCGGTGGATGAAAATCAGGTGGCGGTCGACGTCGACTTCGGTTCTCCGCCAGTACTCGCGGCCGACGGAATCTCTGACCATGAGGCTGCGAAATTTGGGGTGAACGAGCAGGAGAGAGTTTTGGATCTCGGGTTTGATGGAGTCGAGAGGAATCTCGTGCTCGCTGGCCATGGCGCAATTTATGACTTGATCGATCTGCGGTTGGAGGAAGAGACGACCGGCGGGAGTCACTGGCTCGTCTATCTCTGCCGCCATTGTTAAGCTCCGCCGGTGAGTTTTTAGCCGCTCGATTTATATTAATTAATTTTTGCAGGAGTGATTGGGGGAAGTATTGCTACGCTTATTAGCTCCACACAATATATTTAAATATATATATATATATATAAAATTCATTTCCAAATTATTATTATTATTATTATTATTATTAAAAATTATTTAAAATCTAGATTTCCACTTTCGGTATACTGTTTGGTTCCTAGCAATATTTGTCATTCACTCTTACACGGATGAAATCACTATTGTTTATTTCTGTTTCAATTTTGTCCCTTGAATTTTAATTTGATAATTTTGAGTACATCAGTGTGTGTGTGTTTTTTATAATATATATACATATATATATATATAGGTGTGTTCCCTTTATTTTATTTTATTGTTTATTTTTTAATTTTTATAATTTTTAAAATAAAATATATATCATACAACAATTACATCAAAAAATATAACTCAAATTCAAATTTTAAAGAAACATTTCAAAGGGAACACACCTTTTGTTTTAGGTTTATATTTGATGGAGTATATTTTAGATGTGATGATCTATATTACTACAAAAAAATTGTGTTTTTATCATCGAATTTGGGGACGGAATCATAAGATAAATTGTTATTTGAGATGGAATTCCAACGGAATGAAGAGGTGGATCATTAAATTGAAATTCACAATAAAATTTATGCACGAAATTAATCCGACTCAATTTGCGATGGATTCTATGACTTTTGAAGCGGTTTTTGCCGTAATTAGCAACAAAATGTTAATACAGGCTAATTCCGTTAGCAATAGCGACGGAAATCTCCAACGAAATATTCAGATACAACCCAAGATCGTCATCTTTTTGCAACAAAATCAAATTCCATCGTTGTTAGCAGGAAAAAAAAAAAAAAAAGAACTCAAATAAAACTGAATGCTTGTATATTTAATTTAATGTTTTTATTTACTATTCAAAAAACTGAGGTTTTATCTTCGGATATATTTCAAAAAAGTAATCTCACTTTTTTTTTCTTTATTTGACAATGAAAAGTAATCTCACTTTAATATGGATAATATGAATAAGAGTTGGGATGTGTTAGACTGTGATTTCTAAATAAAATTAATATTATTCGTTCCATATAATTACTAATAAAAATATATTATTCGTCCAATTAAAAAAAATAAATAGTATTTATTTTTGGGACAAAGTAAAGTTGTCAATGAAAAAATAAAATATTATTATTATTATTTTTTTTTTTGACAAAACTTCAAATCAAAATAATATTTAAATAAAATACGAATCAATATTTTATTTCAAATTACAATAAATAACTCTTATATCATTGACTGAAAATATAAAGAGGCTTCAAGCACAATAAAAAAAACATACAAATAGTGTGCATATTTTCACTAACCGCATACTTTTTATGTAAAAAAAAAAAAAAAAGAAAAAAAGAGCTTTGGAATTTCATAATTTTCTTCCCAAACAAAATCAGAAAATTTGACTCCAAAATTTCATATTTATTTTTTCTTCAAATAGGGAGGAAATTCTCACTATTATCGTGCAGATGGATATGGCAAGGGTGGGTTGCAGCCCCTTCATCGGGGGTCTATTTCTTTATATTTATTTTCTCAAATTTTATTATTTGAACTTTGTATTTTTTAAAATATATATATATATTTAATAAAATATATAATCAAATATTATTTTAATATCAAACTCAAATCAAATTTTCTCAAATTTAACCAAAAGAAACACATCAGATATTAGCTATTTAAATTATATATATATAATAATTACAATGAATAAAATAAATTAAAGTGTGCACTTTATTAGTTTTTTCAGTTAAGAAACACCTTGTTAATTAAAATGATAATAATAATAATAATAATAATAATAAACAACAAAAATAAATATTTATAATATATAACTATTATTGTAGTTTGTTATTTGCGAATATAACAACTAAAAGAACAAAAATGTCCAAAAAAAAAATAAATATAAGTCTTTTTATATGTATAAATAAAATATACTATCTCCGTCTCGACCATCGTGTCAACTGTAGATACGAGTATTTAGGATAAATATAATTTGTAAATAATTAAAAATATATTAGTAAAAGTAATTATCTTATATTAAAAATAATTATATATTAAGATTAAAAGTAATTTTTTCTCATTTTATTTTATTTGATCAACACGTGTCACGTCACCCGCCGGAAAATGACACGTCGTGGTACACGTCTACATCGGCCATGTACATGTCGACAACAGCGATTCCACGTCTGCATATGTGCCCGGAACGAGACATTTTTGGGCACCGAAAAACAAAAATGAGGCCTTTAAAACCCTTAGTGTCCTACTTTGCCAAACTGAAAAAAAAAAATATCTAAAAATAATAATTTGAGGTAATTTTTGCTCTTTTTCCTAAAATATATATCCCTATATCCATTAGTAAACTTTCAATTTTACCAATTTTAGTTTGTACAAATTCAAAATTCTCATTTCATGTTTAAGTAGAAGTAACTTTCCATTTTAACCCAACTTCGACACACAGATCAAACAAGCAATGCTATTTTTCTTTATAAAATGAAAATACTCTGACAATGAATAAAATGAAAAAATAGATTATAGACAGATAGTTGAATATGAAAAAATCCATGGTTAACTCACACAGATTCAACACAATTATAAAAACATATGAAGTTATTTTTCTTTATAAAATGACAATAGGACAATAATTCACAAAATTAGAAATAACACATAGTTTCAAAACCACCTGAAGCCTTTCGGTTTAGTTTACGATACAAGGTTCGTCTAGTGTAACTTATATATTTTCTAGCATAGTTCAAAAGCTACTATACTTGATCGGAATTAAATATACACTCAAATAGTTGTGGTTGTTGATTTTCATGTTATAAAAATAGCATATAATCGGAAACAAAGAAGCATATAATTAACAAAGAGTGGGTACAATCATAAAAATAAAAATAAAAAACCTTATGTTATTCAACCTGTAAATATTGTTGCTATACTTTATTGATATATATATATATATATATATAAATCATGACCAAGATAATTATATAGATTGTAGTGTTACAATCGCTATGTTCTTCCAATACTACTTTTCAATTGTAATTCCTCACTAATAATAATAATAATAATAAATACAAAATATTTTATATAAAAGTCAAGAAAAACTTCAAATACTCATTATAGAAAGCCATTAAAAAATAAAAATTTTAAATATTCAACCTAAAATAATATATTTTATCTTTTTGACAATTTTTTATACACCAAAAATTATTTAATCTAAAAATGTTGGGTGAACAGAACCAATAACAATGCAAGAATAAATGGACGATGGAATCCGAGTGCACATACATAAATACATACATATGCATATATTCTTGGAGAATACGAATGGTAGTTTTAACTAAAATAGGAACAAAGAAGAAGTTGTGAGTACTTAAGTAAACCCCCCTTCTCGAATCCTTTCGGCAGTTTCATTCGACGGCTTCCTTCATTTCCATTAAGGCTTTTTCAAAACACTTGGCGAGAACTTTGGGGTCCGGAACAATATCTTTCGCTACCAAGATTTGCATGTCCGCACATCCGGCATAGCTCACCATATTCAGTATTATCGCCTACATGAGATCGATGCAATGCAATGCAATGCAATGGCCCCAATCAAAACTTGTTCATTAATGAAATCACATCAAGAAAGATTCTATACACACATTTATTACTTGAGGAAAGGCACTCGGTATCACGCGAATGTACTTGACAGTGTTTCCCCAAAGTGTCATTTTGTCGTCTGGTCCAACAATATTGGAGATGAGAAACGTCGTGTTACAACAGATACGGTAATTAAAGATGCCAAAGGGCTGCAAAATTGAGAAGCAAACAAAGCCAAATGATCATCGATGATTTTTAATTACCTAAATTTGATGGTGAAATTAATGATAGAGCGATTATGAGTTCTACCTTAATCCCAAAAGAACATGCAACCAAATAGCAGAGTACATAAGTGAAAAGTGCTTCTAATGAGTGCTTCTTCTTGTCGATCATCGCCTTGGCTCTCTTCACAGAGTCGAGAGGATCCAAACTACGCTTTTGGTAAAGAAATGGTAAAAGAATTATTCCAACCCTATTGCCCTGCTGAGTATTAGCATGGAGGTTCTTCAGATTGGATGAGTCATGTTGTCTCAAATTTACCGGCGCAATTCCAGTGATTCGGTCACCTTACAAGGACGAAGATAACATCAAACAATAGAGTAAAGGGATGTACATAGACATTGTTAGAATTATGTAAGGAGATGTTTGTTCTTACTGTTAGTTAATGATCTGGTGTCTAAATATCTTGAAAGACCACTTGATATTATCCCCAAAAGAACATCGTTAATTGTCTGTCAATTTTATTAGATATTACCAAAATAAAAATATATGATGTTGCAATGTTATTATAAACTATTAAATACAATTTCACAAATAATAATAATAATAATATGGTTTATGTGATTCATGTTGTTGATCAACACCTTTAAAATACGATTTTCGTCTCATTTTAAATGATACTATTAATTATTACTACGAATTTTTTAAGATTGATGATATTTAATTAATTAATGATAATAGGTTATGATATTATTTTATTATTTTTTATGTAAGAGATATTGTTAGTAATTTTAAAATAAGAAGCAATATATATGATTAAAAGAATTTCGGAATATGCACCTAAATATTTTAAAAATTATATCTTAATAAAATATATACAATGTGAGTATCATTAGATAATAATTTTTTTTATATAATACAAATAAATAAAAAAATTTATTTCTTTATGATTAATATAAATTAATTTTATAAACAAATGGAAGTTTTAAATATACATAATAATATTTATTTATTGAAAAGAGATAAAAATAAAAATATTTTGAATCCGCATTAGTATATTGTCATATCTTATAAAATTAATTAAATTAATTTATATTTTAGTAAAAATTTTCATTATAGAAAGATATCATTTGTTATGAGATAGATTAAAATAAAAATTGTATCATTATGATAGGATGAAAGAAGTATAATATAAATGATCAATTTAAATTCTATAAATTGTATTATAATACGTAACATTATTCCAATAAATTCTATAATCATGATATCAATCAATATAATGTGTAATTTGATTGATTAAACATTAGATCAGATTTTATTACTTATAAAATTTTAAAAGAAATCAAATTATATTTCAAAGTTTGAAGATTTGGATTTTGAGTTGGATTTGAATAGTAAAAATTTTGAATTTGAATAGTTGTATGATGTGATATAAATAGGTGATATGATGTTTTGAATATAAAATTGATTTCTAGTCTAATATAAAAAATAAAAATATGGTTTGGTTTGATATTTTTGAAAGAAAAAAATTGAATGAATAGTCCCCAAACAAAAACACCTTATATAGCTTTGTTCTATATATTATATTTCACATATTTTACTTTTCAATATATATATTGATAGAAAATTATTGAAATATATAAGATTATTAATTATGTTATATATGTAGTATAATTACCTTTTGGATATGATACACAAAAATGAAAAATGATATATTCTTATGGGACAGGTGAATAATGTATTAAAATAAAATAAAAAATCTAACCGAATTTGGAACGGCACGCTTGACGGTTTTCATGTCGTCCAACCGGAACCGCGCCGTCGCCAATATCCGCGGCCGGAGCTCTACTCCATCGCCGACGCTCACGGCGGTCATTTTATCTCTTCGCCAGAGAAATGTGAACGCCATCTGTAAAACATAAAGCACAGTAAACCAAACAATCTTCAACAGCGTTACAACGTTCCACCGCCTCGGCATATACGACGACGTTTTGCCGCCGCGGATAGTCGTCGGCGTCTGCGAAGGATCGTCGATCCTCCTACACAACGACAGCAGCATCTCCATCAAAGAGACGCCGTCCCCCAGCGCGTGGTGCACACGGAAAACCACAGTTTTATGCGCCACCAGGAGGTGGATTTCCCACAGCGGTTTGTCGGCGGAGAGCGGCGACGAATGAGAGAGATCCGCGAGGTAATCGTTCACGGCGTCTTCGTCAGGATCGTCGGAGAGGCGGCGGTGGATGAATATCAGGTGGCGGTCGACGTCGACTTCAGTTCTCCGCCAGTACTCGCGGCCGCCGGAATCTCTGACCATGAGGCTGCGAAACTTGGGGTGAAGCATCAGGAGAGAGTTGTGGATCTCGGATTTGATGGAATCGAGGGGAATCTCGCCGTCGCAGACCATGGCGCAGTTTATGACTGGATCGAGCGGCAGTTGGAGGAAGAGACGATCGACTACATTCACTGGCTCGTCTCTGACGCCCTCGCTGCTCCGATCATCTTCCGCCATTGTCGATTGATCGTTAATTAAGAAATGAAGTCTGAGAAATTGAAGGAACGATTGAAGCTCTATATGATCCAATGGTCCAGTGCACCTTTTAATACTCCACAAAAAACACATTTACATTTAGGTTGAGTTTGTTCGAAGGACTTTGGTGGATTTTACTTATTTATAAAAAAATATTCTTCCAAAAAATATCAAATAAAATATTTATTACTTTCTCTTTTATATTATACTAAAAGTCAATTTTACGTTCAAAATATTATATTGTACAACTATTTTTTAATTTAATTTTTTTACTATTCTAATGTCAATCCAAAATCCAAATCCCAGACAAACACAAACACACCCTTAATAATAATAATAATAAGTTCCGTAAAGGATGGCCTGGTGGTGTAGGTCCACGGTCACAAGTCCAAACCCGACGCCTAAGATCACCTGCCACACATGGTTTGCCTAGTGTGACTTTTCCGTCGGGCCTGGTTTGCAGGGTGTTAGGTTTAGCCGGGGGTTTACCCAATGCCCACTTTCGAATAGTAGCTACGGTTTCCACGTCATAAAATAAATAGAATTAATTTTGTAATTTTACTGTACATTATATAAAAGAGCACAAGATCCTCATATGAAACAATTATAATGTTGGGCTTTCTGAACATATATTTCATATTCTAGTTGTTCATTCACAATACTCTTATAAAAACTAACATAATTAATTCTAGAAATTTCCAAACTTTTTTCTTTAATGTTTAAAAAAAAATAAAAATACAACAATAAATAATAACAATAACAAAATCATTAATTAACTAGGTCGGACGCATTATAATTGCAAAAGAAACTTATGTTGTCGGATCTAGTTTGCAAGGTATTAGTTTGGTGGTGGATTTACTTGATGCGCACTTTCGGATAGCTTTTCCACGTCATTAAAAAAAAATATTTTTATTTATTAAGTTAATGAATAAAATTTATAATGAGTAATATATTTGATACTAAATCATCAATCAAGTTCAATATTACTTTATTTTTATTATAAATCATTATCGATATATAAAATATTGAAATTTATATAAAAAAATATTATAATAAATAAGTTTTGTTAAAAATAAATTATGGAAACTGAAAAATTGCATTATATTGGTGTTACGCACAAAAAATAATAATAATAATAATAATAATAATAATAATAATAATAATAATAATAATAATAATAATAATAAGGTATCCAGAGTCAGTCGGTGGGTTCTCAGTCGGTTGGTTCTCAATCAGATAAACAAGTCAGATGGTCCGCGGTCGGGCAAGCAGGTCGGATTATCCGCAGTCGGATAAATAGGTCGGTTGATACAAAGGTTGGCTGCTATGGGGGTCGGTCGAAAAAGGAAGTCGGGCGAAGAAAGGTCTGTTGATAGGTCAGACGATTGAAGAGACCAAATAGTGGTCGTTTGATGGGGCGACCAGTGAGTCTTTTGATCTGGCGACCAATTATGTATCTAGATTGGTCGGTTGGTCGGTCGTTGGGTTATGCGGTTGGCGAGGCGGTTAAAGACATGTGTCAATGAAAGAGGCAGTTCTGAGTTCTGTGACTGGTGGGAACGGTTGAAGGAAGTTGTAATACGTGTCAATAGAGGAGAAATTGGTGGTCGGTTGACAGCGGTTGCTGTAACCGACCAGACGGCGGTTCAAACCGTTTTCTTCAAAGGTTATTTAAGGATTCAGATTTATTCTGAAAATGTATCTTCAATCAACTTCAACAAAGCAAAGTCAGATTTGGGGATCACCACTTTAAATTTCAGTCTTTTATTTTCCAGTTTATTTTCTGTACCGTACAGTGTTTAGAGATTCCTAATCTCAGGCACTAATTAATCAAGTTTAAGGATATTTTCTATATCTTTGAATTTTACTTTATTTTTGTTGAAAAATTACATCAACAAATTGGCGACCACAGTGGGAGAAAATTGCTGATCCATATGGCAAATTTTCAATTCCACAGTACAGCCGTTGGCTTTATCACGGCAGAAGAAGCTTCCCAACTACGGGCCGAATTGACAGCAGGTTTTCGGCAAATGTACGACCAGCAGATAGCAAATCTGCAGGCAATACATGACGCAATGCAAAACTTGATGGAGCAATCAAAATTCATGTTGAATTCGGTTCCTGCACCGCCAGAAATGTCATGCCCCCAAACGGACAACGCCATTCCTGAGCATATACCCAGTCAGACAGACTGGAGACAGGACCAAACAGGAGGACAGGCCCGACCAGGGACGACCGAATGGACGGAGACAGGTCGGCAGGATCACGACGCCTGGACGGACCATGGTCGGGAAGACCACACCGACTGGACGGACCATGGTCGGGAGGACCACACCGAATGGACGGACCGTAGTCGGGACAACCACACCGACTGGATGGACAAAGGTCGGGAGGACCACACCGACTGGACGAATACAGATCGGGAAGACCACGTCGACTGGACGGACAAAAATCGGGAGGACTACGTAACCTGGACGGATACAGGTCAGGAGGACCCCGCCGAATGGACGGATACAGGTCAGGAGGACCCCGCCGAATGGACGGATACAGGTCAGGAGGACCCCGCCGAATGGACGGACACGGGTCAGGTCGCCGACCATAACTTTTCAGGCGAGCAAAAGAATGACAGAACAACAGTGGCCGAAAGGAGGAATAAGTCGGACGGGAGTCTGAATACAATGGTAGTGCAAGATCGACCAACGTCCAGGCCAGCACCAGTCCGCGATAAATGGAGGTCGGGTCCAACGTAGCCTCAAAGGATGGAGGTCAGATCTGAGGCTGACGTAGCCTCGGATGCTAACCTACTAACTCCTAAAACATCATAAGAAATGATGCTTAGGAGTCTTGAGGAGGAGGCATGTTGTTACGCACAAAAAATAATAATAATAATAATAATAATAATAATAATAATAATAATAATAATAATAAGGTATCCAGAGTCAGTCGGTGGGTTCTCAGTCGGTTGGTTCTCAATCAGATAAACAAGTCAGATGGTCCGCGGTCGGGCAAGCAGGTCGGATTATCCGCAGTCGGATAAATGGGTCGGTTGATACAAAGGTTGGCTGCTATGGGGGTCGGTCGAAAAAGGAAGTCGGGCGAAGAAAGGTCTGTTGATAGGTCAGACGATTGAAGAGACCAAATAGTGGTCGTTTGATGGGGCGACCAGTGAGTCTTTTGATCTGGCGACCAATTATGTATCTAGATTGGTCGGTTGGTCGGTCGTTGGGTTATGCGGTTGGCGAGGCGGTTAAAGACATGTGTCAATGAAAGAGGCAGTTCTGAGTTCTGTAACTGGTGGGAACGGTTGGTGAAACAGTGCGACGGTTCTGAACGTTTTCTTCAAAGAATATTTAAGGATTTGGATCATCATTTGGCAAGGCATCTTCAATCAACTTCAACAAAGCAAAGTCAGATTTGGGGATCACCACTTTAAATTTCAGTCTTTTATTTTCCAGTTTATTTTCTGTACCGTACAGTGTTTAGAGATTCCTAATCTCAGGCACTAATTAATTAAGTTTAAGGATATTTTCTATATCTTTGAATTTTACTTTATTTTTGTTGAAAAAATACATCAACAATTGGTCATCGAAATAAGGGGTCTGACAACATATACATACTCGATAGACTCAAATTTAAATAATATAATATATGGATAAGATTAAATCTAGATTTAAATCTATTAAATCTAAAAATGAATATTTAAAATATCTCAACGTCCCCTCAAACTCAAGTCTTATAACTGAAACCAACTTGAATTTGATAAGAAAATTGAATATAGACGTAAATAAAAATAACTGTGGCTTGTCTGTTGTTGTCAACGTTGCTCCACTGTATCAAAGTCAGAAACAATGCTCTCAACTGAATTAGAGTCGAAAACAACATGAGTCACAACGGAGTCGGAAACGACAGGACTCTCGAGTTGGGAACGACGAGAGTACTCTCCATAACGTTGGAAAAAACGAGACTCTAAATAGAGCATAAACGACGAGACTTTCAATGCAGTCGAATACATCACTCTGGAGAAACATGTCAGACTGTCAGACTGATCGCAAACAAATGCGTAGACAGAACTCTCAAATTCAAACACAGACGAAAACCAAGACTCTCAACAGTACATTTTTTTTTTCTTTAAGACCTCCAGTTATATTTCAGATTGAATGCACCCGAAAAAACGCGGGTTGATATATTGTATCTACTCCAGGAGAAAAATAGTCTAATACCATCTTAAAAATAAATTATGAAAAATGAAAATTTACATTGTATTGATAATCAATTAGCCTGATACTATGTTAAAAATGAATTATGAAAACTAGAAAATTGCATTATATTGATCATGAAATGAGAGGCTATACATAAGCAATATATAATATTCTCGATAAACTCAAATTTAAATAATTTAATTTATGGATAAAACCAATATCTCAACAAATTTGAATATTATATAATTTATAATTATATACCCGAGTTTAAGTGCTAGTAATATAACATATAAAGATTCGGATAAAATATAGATTCATAATTATTGAGATTTTATAATTACGATAATATTTTTAATTAATGTAATAATTATTTTTAAATAAATTAAACTACTTAATTTTAAATCATTACAAAAAATATTTAAATCTGAAATTACAATTAACATTATTTATTGATATCTGTTATATTGATAATTAATTACGATCCTACGGCTATATATTAATGTGACTAAAATTAATGTTATATAAAAAAATAACCAAAATTTAGTGGAGTATTGCTTTTATTATTATTATTATTATTATTATTATTATTACATTTTCAAATTATTGAAGCAGGATTTCATACAATAAAATTAACTCAATACTAAGCACAAAACATTTACATTTATTAATAATAATAATAATAATAATAATAATAATAATAATAAACTATATAGCATGGTATTACTTAAAGCAATATCAAATTACAACTAATATTTTTTTTTTCTATTAATATTTTTGTAACATGTCATAATATCATTTAAGTATAAATAGTGAATTACGTTATAACATGTCATTGAAATTAATGTTTTTAGAAAAAAATTATTAGCTATAATTTAATGAAGTATTGCTTTAAGTAACATCATGCTATATATTATTATTATTATTATTATTATTATTATTATTACATTGTCAAACTATTGAATCAAGATTTTATACAATAAAGTTAACTCAATATTAAGCAAAAATATTTACATTTAATAATAATAATAATAAACTATATAGCATGATATTACTTAAAGAATATTAAAATACAGCTATTATTATTTTTTTTTCTATTTACATTTTTGTTAGACATCATAATATCATTTAAGTATAAATAGGCAATTATGTGATAAACTATTACTCTCTCTATTCCAAACACCCTGCAACATTTCCTCTTTAAAATAGGAAATAATTAATTATATTTAATCTCTACCCCACACTTTATCCCCTCGTATCATCCAAATAAAAAAATAAAAACTCGTGTCAAAAATAAATGTTACACCTTGTTTGGGACGGAGAGACTATTTTATTAATGCTTAACACATGTACATACGCTCATTGTAGCAATCATTTAGGGCTCAAACTATAAGAGCTCTTAAATGTAGACAAATTTATTGCTTTTATTAGAAATAAAATATCATTATTCTTATTCGTTCATTTGATCTACAGTTACTTTCATGTTCACACTAAATTTGTCGAAGTTAGGTTCTTGATAAGATTTTGGAAGGGAAAAGAGATATTAACTATCCATGTCAATTCCCCCGTCACATTGTTAACAACGTATAGGTGGTTCGTAATTGTTAAGTACATAGGAGAGCCTTGTCGACCTACTTAACTAGTGATCTGAATATTATCTTGACTAATAAGATGTATCAAACGGGTAAGTGCACTAGTAAAACAGTCTTAATTAATAATTAATTAAACGTAGGTGCTAGTCTATCGGATCACACATATTTCCAGTGATCGTGGTTTCTGCTTTAGATAATATTCTTAGGTGTGAATTTGAAGTTCTGTTGTAACTCTTAAACTTACGTACCAATTGAGTCAATAGTCGAACTTTAGCGAACAAGTGCGATTACGCCACTTTTCCAGAATGCTTCGCTCATAGGTGTTGATGTGATGTTTTGAATGTAAAATTGATTTTCAATATAATATAAAAAATAAAAAAATAGGTATTTGATTTGATATTTTTTTAGAGAAAAAAAAAATTGATGAATAATGAAAATTTTAACAAATCCTCCAATCAAACACACCCTAAGTATTTCTCTAATTTACTGTGAAATTTAAAATTCTTGAGCTCAATCTGAATACTCACCAATAAAAAATAGTTAAAATTGTTTATTTGGGGGTTCGGATTTTGAGTTGAGATTTGAATAGTAAAAATTTTAAATTTGAATAGTTGTATGATGTGATATAAATAGATGTTGATGTGATGTTTTGAATGTAAAATTGATTTTTAGTATAACATAAAAAATGAAAAATAAGTGTTTAATTTGATGTTTTTGGAGGAAAAAAATGAGATGAATAGTAAAAATCTAATTCAATTCCCTAAACAAACTTAACTATATGCCTCACCACATGACTTTTATAGTTAAAATTTTTGTTGCTTGACTTTATTTATCACATATATAAAAGTCCAATCACTTTGAAATTCAAGACATCTTCAATTGATAATAATTTCAGGGAGAACAATTTGGAGATCACAATTTTAAATTTTTTGTACTTGCGCTGCTGATGTATCAAACACCCTTGCGTTTGTCTGGGGATTGGATTTTAAATAAATTATTCATCTCATTTTTTTTTATATTATACTAAAAAGTAATTTTACATTCAAAACATCACATTCTACCTATTTATATTACATTATCCAACTATTTAAATTCAAAATTTTTACTATTCAAATCTCAAACTCAAAATTCAAACCCCGAACAAACACACCTAAGGGATATCCTAAAGTCCTATGTTATAAAAATCAAATTAAAGTCGAGTCTTGGGCCTGAACTTTACTTTTTATCATTAAATTTTTGTGTTTAAAAATATCAATATGTATACTAAAACATATCATAGACATTATGTGAATGTCATTGGAAAAATTGCAAAAAATATCCCACATCTCTACCCCATTATCACTTTTGTCATATATTTATCTCGCTGGCAAAATATATCCCACATGTTTGCAAAAGTCGTTATTTTTATCCTTTGGCCGCGCGTGATCGCGCGTAAGGGAGTGTCACGCGCGGGCAAAGGACATAAGTATCGACTTTTGTAAATATATGTGATATATTTTGCCAGTGAGATAAATACATGACAAAAGTGATAATGAGGTACAAGTGCGGTATATTTTTTTGCAACTATCTCGAATGACATTCTACCACACATGCAGCATTATTTGATTGATAAATTGAACTTATAAATACCAAAGTTGTATGAGAAGAAATAAAAGCAATCATTTTCTACTCCAATTTACTCTCTCTCGTTTTACCCTCTTTCTCTTTAACGTATATGCACAGACATCATATATATATATATATATACATACATAATTATCACATACATCATTATATATAAGATATATCAGCAAACACACTTATACATGTATATATATATATATATATATTTGTAAATATATTATAGTATTATTTTATACATAGTAAAGAAGAAGGTTTTCTTTCCAATAGTTTTTCTTTTATTCTCTTCCCCACTACAAGATTCGTCACAAAATATAAAAAAAATAATTATAGTTGGGAAGAGTTAGGTTGCTTATTATAGAAGTAATCAACACCGTGTTCATTACTCTAATTAATATAAAGATTATTATAATACTAAGAGTGAATAATTCACTTGGCAAACAATGGAGTTGTGAGTGAGGTTTAATTTTCTAGATTCACAGACTCTCAAGTGGGAAGTTTTGAACTTCTCCATGCTTGTCTCCATCATCACTGAGGCTGAAGAGGCCATATCAATATATGAAAGGTCTTTTTGTTTTGTTTTTTTTATGACATGGGAATCCGCAGCCGTTATCCGAAAGTGCGTACTGGGTAAACCCCAGGCCGAATCTAATACCCTGTAAATTTGACTGGAAAGTCACACTAGACGAACCATCTGTGGCAGGTGACCTGAGGCGTCGGGAATTTGAACCCATATCCTCACAATCACAAGCCCAACCTCTACCCCACCAACTCATCCTTGCATTATATTTTGAACTTAATCAACGCATTATTGAATTAAATAAGAAATAGAAACAATAAAAATTAGATTATGTAAAAACTATAAACTATTATTTTTATAAAGTGAAGATAGTATGGCATTTAACAAAGTTAAAAACATAAGTAATGGTAGAATTATTTTATGAAATAAAATAAGTAGAAATACAAATTTAACTTAATCATAAAAATATAAAAAAAATTGCAAAAAATATCTCACACTTATAACTCATTATCACTTTTATTTTGTATTTGTAACGTAACAAAGTGATAAGAGGGTATACATGTGAGATAAATACATGACAAAAGTGACAATGGGGTATCCAAACCTATTTAGTACATTACGATTTCAACGTACAATTGATATATTATCCTTAATTAATTTTAATCCTTCAATTATACACATATATGATGCAAATGTCCATACTTAATTAGCAAAATGCTAAACTTTATGGTATCAATATAGTAACCACCATTGTTATACTTTGTTGATATATATATATATATATAAAATAAAAATAAAAATAAAAATAAAGCACATAAATCATGAAGAAAATAATCATATGAATTATTTTGTTACAATGACAATGCAAGAGTAGATAGATGATGGAATCCCAAGGCATGTACACACATGTTCTTGTTTTTAACTAAAACAAGAACAAGGAGTATGGAGTATGTAAGTAGCACCTTTTACTTCAAGTCATTTCAGCACATTGTGGAAGCAGCAACTTCCTTCATCTCCAACAAGGCGTCTTCGAAACACTTGGCGAGGACTTTAGGGTCCGGGATCTTATCTTTCGCCACCAAGATTTGCATGTCCGCATATCCGGCATAGCTCACCATATTCAGTGTTATCGCCTACATGAGATCGATGTGGCACCCCCAAATCAAAACTTGTTTATTGATCAAAAGTAAATCAATAAATCAGTCAAATATATATACTACTTGAGGAAGGGTGCTCGGTGCCACACGAATGTACTTGACAGGGATGCCTGAAAGCGTTACTTTGTCTTCCGGTCCGACCATATTGGAGATGTTAAATGTCGTGTTACAAAAGATACGGTAAATAAGGATGCTAACGAGCTGCAAATCAAGAAGCAAACAAGCATGAAAGGTCAAATTATCATCGGTGATCTTTAATTGACCGGATTTTGATGTTGAAATTAATTAATCATAGAGCGATCATGAGTTCAACCTTAGTCCCGAAGAAATATGTGACCAAAAAGGAGGCTACATAAGTGCAAATGGCTTCCAACGAGAGCTTCTTCTTGTCAATCATTGCCTTGGCTCTCTTCAAATTGTCGAGAGGATTCGAGCTACGCTTGTGGTAATAAACAGGTAAAAGAATAACTCCAAACATATTTCCATGCTGAGTGTTGCCATGGACGTTCTTTAAACTTGATAAGTCATGTTGTCTCAAATTTATCATCGCAGCTCCGGTAATTTGGTCACCCTCTTTTAAACCTACTCAGAGACGACGACGACAACAACAACAACGATGATGATAACAAACCGAAATAATGTATTCGTGTAGACAATGTTAGAATTCTATAAAGAGATTTTTTTTGTTACCGTTGGTTGAAGATCTGGTGTCTAAGTATTTTGAAAGGCCACTTGATATTATCCCGAAAAGAACATCATTGATTGTCTGTGCAATTTCATTCAAATTAATTTACAAAATAAAATCATATTATGCTATAATATCATTACAAACTATTAATTACTATTTTACAGATAATAATAATAATCGAATTATTATTAATAAATCTATTTTAATTTAAATTTTCTTGACTATTTATTTGTAATTACTTAAAAGGGTAAACTATTTTTTTTAATCCGTAACTGGACCCTTATTATTTTAGTCCCGTAAATGGATGTTATCACAAACTAGTCTCATAAGTGAATAATTTGTTGTTTTAGTCCTCCGGCGTCGGAGACACCCGCATGGCTCGCCGGAAGCCACGTGTCCGAGAAGTCGTTGACCTAGCGGACACGTGAATTTTATTTTATTTCTTTTTTAATTTTTTTTTTTTCAATTGGACCAAAATATAAAAATAAAATAAAATAAGGCAAATAAAATTTAAAATCAATTTTAAAAAATAATAAAATCTACGTGTCCGTCAGGTATTGCTGGCCTGGCGGACACGTCGCTTCCGACAAACCTCGCAGGCGTCTCCGGCGCCGGAGGACTAAAACAGCGAAAATTTTTCACTTATGAAATTAATTTGCGATATACTCCACTTACGAGACTAAAATGATAAGGGGTACTGTTACGGAACTAAAAAAACAGTTTACTCTTACTTAAATATCTAGTTGTATATATCGCATTAAGCACATTATTTATGCACTTATTATTTATTTTCATAACACCTTTAAAAAATATGTTTGCTTGTACATTTTTTTGCTTTTCTAGAATTTATTTATCTTTTCTTTCAAAAATATAAAATTCAGTATTATTTATTATTTAAAGCATATAATTATTAAAAAAATGATAACAGACAAATAAATAACCCTAAAATATGCCAACAGTAAGGTCCAAGGAATATATATGAGCAAGTTGTTTTTAATGATTTAAGTAAAAACTTATAATCCATAAGCTATTGAAAAGGTAAATGATTAAATACTGAAAATTAAAATACAATTTTCACATGAATTTTCAAGTAAATGACAATATAAAAAAAAATAATAATAATAATTGCATAAAATCTACATGAAATTACGTCAAATTTCTGTGTCAAACTCCATAAATTCTGCATCTAATCTTCAGCGGTTTTTATTTAACTGTATTTGGCTTAAATGAGCCCAAATTACAAATAAATTTTAGAATATTTAATCTAAATCCCTTAAATTACAAATATATTCATTTTTTTTATATTTAGCTTCAAAAAATAATAAAAATACTATAAAAAAATAATTATTTTCTTTAGGTTTTAAAAATTTATTTTTTATTATTTTTTTAGACTAAATATAAAAAAAATAATATATCTGTTTAGGGATTTAAAAATTAAAATTTTAAAATTTATTTGAAATTTGGACGCCATTTAAGCCAAGTACCGTCGAGAATTAGACGCACAGAGTTTATAAAAGGACGACCGAGTTGGATGCAGATTTAAAAATATAAAAAAACTCACGCAATTTCGTCAATCACATATGGATTTATTTTGTGTAATTTAGAAAAAAAAAAAAAAATACACTAACCGAACTTGGAAGGGCACGCTTGACGGTTTTCATGTCGTCCAATCGGAACCTCGCCGTCGCCACTTTCCGCGGCCAGAGCTCTGCTCCATCGCCGCCACTCACGGCAGTCCTTTTATCTCTTCGCCAGAGTAACGTCAACAGTGTTTCTAAAACATAAAGCACAGTAAACCAAACCATCTTCAACAGCTTTAGAACGTTCCACCGCCTCCGCATAAACGACGTTTTGACGGCTCCAATAGTCGTCGGCGTCTGCAAAGGATCGTCAATCCTCCTACACAACGACAGCAGCATCGCCATTAAATAGACGCCGTCCCCCAGCGCGTGGTGCACACGGAAAACCATAGTTTTATGCGCCACCAGGAAGTGGATTTCCCACAGCGGTTTCTCGGTGGAGAGCGGCGACGAATTCGACAGATCCGCGAGGTAATCGTTCACGGCGTCTTCGTCAGGATCGTCGGAGAGGCGGCGGTAGACGAATATCAGGTGGCGGTCGATGTCGACTTCAGTTCTCCGCCAGTACTCTCGGCCGGCGGAATCTCTCACCACGAGGCTGAAAAACTTGGGGTGAACCATCAGGGAAAAGATTTGGAGCACGGATTTGACGGAATCGAGGGGAATCTCATTCTCGCAGACCATGGCGCAATTTATGACTGTATCGAGCTGCGGTTGGAGGAAGAGACGGTCGACCGGAGCCACCGGCTCGTCTCTGATGTCGTCGCTGCTCCGATGATCTGCCGCCATTGTCGATCGATTGTTGAGATTTAGAGTCAATAAGTGGAAGGAACGATTGAAGGCGGTGGTATTGCTACGGTGATTCGCCCCATTTGGTGTAATGTACCTTTTATACTCCACACAGTACATAAATGTTGACGTGTTTGGGTAACATTTTTTTTTAGAAGCTTTTATTTTAAACAATTTTTAAATGTTTGATAAGACAAAAAGATAATTTAGTATTTGGTAAATTATATTTTTAAAAGGGCTTTTTGGATCTCCAAAACTTAATTTCTGAAAAGTTAATCTAACGAACGTTTTGAAAGAACTTTTTCATTTTAATTTTGGTTATTCCTTATTTATCCTTAAAATTTAATTATTTATTTTATATATATAAATATATTTTTATAACAGTATTTATTAATTATTTTTAATATATTTAATTTATTAAATTATATTTTTATTTTTATAAATTTAAAATAATTACTATTATTTATTATTATATATAAATTATTTTATTTATAAAATATATAAATTTTTAAAATTAAATCAAATAGAAAAATAAAGATTATTAATTTATTTATATATTAAAACTATAATTAATATAATAAAAATATATATACTAAAGATTTATTATTTTATATTTTATATAATTTTAATAAAAAAATTATTATTTCTTAGTAAAAATAATTTTCTCAAATCTAAATAATAAAAATAAAAATAAATATTTATAATAGTTTATAATTTTTAATAATTAATAACAAAAATTCTCATAAATTTCAAATCAAAATGAACAAAATTAAATATTTAAAAAAAAAATAACATATCAATGTCCTTAATAGTCATTTCATGTATAAACAGCTAATGTAAAACAGTTGTTTTACCAAACACTTTAATACAAACCGCTAATTAAATGAGCTAACAGCTAAAAGCTATCAACTAATTTAGGTATCCGATAAATTAGCTTTTTGAAAGAGCTTTTTGAAAAGTTCATCCACCCCGCGTTTTGAAACAGTTTTTTCATTTATTTTTTGTTATTCCTTATTTACCCTTCAAACTTAATTATTTATTTTATACATATAAATATATTTTTATAGCAGTATTTATTAATTATTTTCAATATATTTAATTTATTAAATTATATTTTTATTTTTGTAAATTTAAAATAATTACTATTATTAATTATTATATATAAATTATTTTATTTGTAAAATATATAAATTTTTAAAATTAAATCAAATAGAAAAAAATAAAAGTTATTAATTTATTTATATATATTAAAACAATAATTAGCATAATAAAAATATATATACGAAAGATTTATTATTTTATATTTTTAATAATTTTAATAACAATTATTATCTTTAGTAAAAACAATTTTCTCAAATCTAAATAATAAAAATAAAAATAAATATTTTATAATTTTCAATAATTAATAACAAAAATTCTCATAAATTTCAAATCAAAATAAACAAAATTAAATATTTTAAAAAATAATATGTCAATGTCCTTAATAGTCATTTTATATATAAACAGTTAATGTCAAACACTTGTTTTACCAAACACTTTAATACAAACCGCTAATTGAAACAGCTAATATCAATTAATTATCAAAAGCATCTTTAAATATTACATAATAATAATAATAATAATAATAATAATAATAATAATAATAATAATAATAAATATTACATGATACCCTCTCAGTATGGTTGGGCACCATTCGAATATTTGTAAATATGCAGGTATTTGATATTCGAACTGAATAGAATAAATATCTGAAATCGTGAATCGTATCCGAAACGAAAAGTTCAATTAACCGAAAATATTTGCAAATAATTTGAACCGAATCGAAATTAAAAAATAATTAAAATTCTAATTAAATCAAAATATTTTCAAATATTTCAAATATCCTAACCGAGACCGAACAGAAACCAAACCGATTATAATTTTTAATATAAATTTTAAAATATAATAACATAAATATATAAATATATTCGGTTCGGTTAACTGAACAAAAAAAATATCAAAAACCGAAACCAAACTGAACCGAGCAAATATCAAATATACAGTATTTGAATTCGAACCGAATTTGCTCGGTTAACCGAAAATTCGGTTTGGTTCAACGGTTCGGCGGTTCGGTTTGGTTCTTTTGCGCACCCCTACTCTCAGTCATGCAAATGTGTGCTCATTTGACCCGACACAAGTTTTAATAAAAGTTAGTAATAATTGTTACTTTTTTTCTTTTGTAATAAAAAAAATTATAAAAGTATAATAATTTTTTACTTAAAAATGAAACGAAAATATTTTTTTATAACACCAAAAATAAATGAACATATATTTGAACCACGAAGTATTATTTAAAAAAATATTAAATTACAGTTAATAAAAGACCTTTTATCATTTTCTATAATTAAATGTTGTGACATTTCGTATAATAGCATTTACGTATACAATAATCAATTACGTTGTTGCTAAGTAAAATGTCAAGACTTTTTTCAAAATTTCTATGACTTACATTACTATATTTTCAAACTCATGAAGCATAAACTCATACAATAGGGTTACACTCAATACGATAATGTTTAGATTGATTTCATTTTTTATTTTTTTTGTTAGAATATAATTTTAAATTTTCTATTTAAATTATAAAAAATATATATATATATATTTATAATGGTCCTACTACAACCGTTTAAATAAATCGAGAATTTTACAAATTTCTTAAATAAGGTAATTATCATAAATATAATAGCAATTATCCAAATCAAATAGATGGCAAACTAATATGCAAACAGATTTTCTAACTGTAGATCAAAGTTAACACGAATAGATACACAAACATAGTTGGAAGTATATCGCATTGAAATTTGACAGATCATAGACAAATTGCAGATACGCAAACTAATCTTTATTTTGAAATTCTCATATACGGCCGATAAATAACGCAACCAATTTAGATAATTAAAGGAGAACAGAAAGAAGGTCAAATTAAAAATAACCTCCAACAAAAAAACATATCACACTATCAGATAGGAAATAATCTTCCTAAATCACCGTCGAAACAATTTCGGCACCGGCATGCGGGCAAAGCATTCCAACGGTATCAAATTCCTCTTGGGCGTGAGACCACCAACTGTTGTCGTTCACAGCCAAATTTTGGTGGTTGGCCGAAATTTAGGATGACGAATCTGATGATAGGGGTGGTGTCGACCCGATATGAGCATAAACAAGGGATATAGTGTGACAATTGTATTGTCGATTTTTCAGGAGAAATATCTCTTAATAGAATCAAAATCAGAAATAGAAAGACTTGCAACTATAAACATGATCTCAAAAGTGAAAACTTTCGAATACATTTTAAGTTGAATGTACCCGGAGAAATTTAAATTAATTGGCTATGTTTACTCCCAATCAAACACACCCTGATAATACTTTCACATTTTACAATAACTAATGACAAAAATTCTAAAAAAATCGATTCGCCGGAAAAAAGCAACTAAATATTTTTAAAATAAAATCTATAATATTTTTATTTATTATTTCACATATAGATAATTAATATCAAATAATTATTTTACCAAATATTATTATACAAATAGCTAATTAACTAAATCAGCTAAAGTTAGTTGTCAAACACTGCTTATTAGTCACTCCATATCCCTTCCTATTTCCGTGCCTTTGTAAAATATCATTTTAATTACTTATTACTTCATTCGTCCGGTTTAAGGGTCTTATTTATCTTTTGCGTCATTGCACTTAATATTAAAAATATTCTTATATTTGTATATTTTTTTTTGCACAAATGTCATTGTAATAGTGTTATAAGACACTAATAGAAATAGTTTTTGTCATTTTACCTTAATTTTTACTACGTTTTTATATAATAATTAATATTCAAATATCAACACACAAAAAGTAAATAAGATATTTAGAGCCGGACGGAAATAGTATTTAATTTCATTCGTTGTTTGCGAAAATTTCTTCTCAAACATTTGCATTTACATTCTTTTGTGTAATTTTAATTTTAATTCATGCTATTTTAAGTTTGCAATTTTAGAGACTTACGTGCATTTTTGCGTGAATTTTTCTTAGTGTTAAATAAATTTTCTGAGTTGGACCCGACACAGACGAATAATTATGAGAAATTATTATTTAATGTGTTTTTTTTTTACCACAATATGATAGATTTTTAACCCGCCATCTAAGTCGCACATTACATTTCACTTTGCAATACTAAACATTCTAACCTATGATTTTAAAGACTAGAAAAACCAATTTTTATTTTTATTTTTATTTTTCTTATATCTCATGTCATTCTCTTTTTAAAAAAAAAAAAAAATTATACATTTTAATCATATTTTAAATTTTATAATTTATAATTTTTGTTAATATAAAGTAGACTAATTAATTATTTTAATTTTAATTTATATTTATTTGTATCATATATATTTAATTCTACTAATATCTTTTTATTATTTATTAATTATACTTTTCGTATATTTTCGTGTCTACAATAACTGCGACATTATATCAGAGAGGAAGTAATTTTATTTCAACTATAAATTTCACTTTTTAGTTTAAGAAAATATATATTTCCTATATATATTATTGTTTATATTATTTTCTATAATTTCTCATATTTATAAATTATATTCAACTTTAAATTTTTTTATACTCTCACCCAAAATAATATGTAGTAATAAAAAATGACACGTATAAAATACAAAATATAAATATAAAATATTTTTTTAATATTTATTTAACATATACATACATAAATATTAGTATAAAATTTTATCTAAAAAAAAATTACAAAATTAAAAAATAATAATAATAAAATAAAAAAAAAAAAAAAAATAGAAGTGAAAATGAAAATGAAGTCGGGTAATTTGATGCATTTTTTAACCACCCCACTGTATGGATTGAATTTGGTATTAATGAAAACATTGAGTGCATCAATATCAATATCAATATCAAAAGCTCTTCAAATGAAATATTTTACCAATGAGCTGATGGCCCAATTTGAGAACCATAAAGGCCTTCTCAAAAAAAATTATACATAACTACTAAGTTTTGCCGATGGTTTATCCAGTGTGCATTTTTCGATAACGACTACGGATTTTTATGATATAAAAAAATAAATAAATATAGAAATTCATTTTGAGGATAACCTATTTATTTTTTGGGTAAATTAATTATTTTGTTTAAAAAATTATTTAAGATATTTTGTATTTTTTATTTGTATAAAATTTGCGTAATTTAAATCTTTATTTAGAATCAAATATCAGTTTTGGACAAGGAGGATGATTAGTACAAATTTTATATTAACACAAGGGGTTTCACGCAATAAATAAAATACATGGTAGTTTTGTGCATTTTTACTAAAACACAAGGGTGTATTATATAATTTACCCTTATTTTTTAAACACATTTGTTTGGAGGTTTGGATTTTAAGTTGGGATTTGAATAGTAAAAAATTTGAATTGAAATAGTTATACGATGTGACATATAAATAGGTGTTAATATGATATTTTAAATGTAAAATTAATTTTTTTAAATAATATAAAAAATAAAAAATAGATGTTTGATTTGATATTTTTTTTTTTTTTGATCAAATTTTGAAATTAAAGATTTGACTTTAAGTTCACTATAAAATATTTTAAAAAATCAAAATCTCATCGTATAAACCCATCATCAATACAAAAAACCAAAAAAAGAAAGTACATAATAAATAATAAATGTTCATCATCTGGCCATATTTCTTTCATTTCCATGACGGTAAAGTATCAAAGCATGCACAAATTCAACCCACAAGTTTTAGTCAGCATAAAGTATATCGAAACTGCTTGTTTGGTAATTAAACTCCGATGTAGTAATAATTCGTAGCAACAGCGGTCAGGCGAGACGACGGCAAAGGGTGACCCCATCGCCGACAGGAAGCTGGCAAATTTCGATCCTGGGATCGGCTGCAAGAGCCTTGTTGAGCTCCAACACAAAGTCCCTGTAGTACCTCAGGTACTTCCTCATCGGAGCATCCGGCGGCGCCACCACCGTCCCGTTCCACAGGGTGTTGTCGTACCCGATCACGCCGCCGATCTTCACCAGGTCCAGCAGCCTCTTGTGGTAATTCAAGTAGTTGTCCTTGTCCGCGTCCACAAATATGAAGTCAAACGTCCCATGATTCGTCTTCTACACAAGTTAACATCAACACATTTTTCTTTATATATGTATAAGCCAATTAAAAATTAAGATGAATTAGAAATTGCAACGGGACTTACGTCTTCCAACAAGTGATCAAGAAGAGGCAATGCAGGACCTTCTCTGAAATCAATTTTGTGTGCAACCCCGGCCTTTTTAATGACGGGAAGTCCCAACTCGTAGTTCTCTCTATTGATATCCATTGCCAATATCTGCAAAAGATAAACTCATCCCATTACATTCAATCTAACATTCTTTAGATGGGTTTTGAAGAAAAATTTGATTTTGATTTGATATTAAAATAATATATGATAGATATTTTATGAGGGGAAAAAATATGAAAACTCAGAGTCCAAATAGTAAAATCGTGTAGTTTTGGACAAAAAAAAAAAAAAAAACATACCCATGTAATTTTATTTGAGTAAAGAGATTAAAAAATAATATTATTCAAATATTCAAATAAAGTTTGTTTGGGAGATTTGATTAGATTTTCACCATTCATCTCATTTTTTCTCCCCAAAAAATATCAAATCAAACACCTATTTTTTATTTTTTATATTATACTAAAAATCAATTTTACATTCAAAACATCACATCAACACCTATTTATATCACATCATACAACTATTCAAATTCAAAATTTTTACTATTCAAATCCCAACTCAAAATCCAAACCCCGAACAAACACACCCTAAGTAAAAAGTACAAGAGTAAATATAAAAAAATGATAAATTAGTAGTATTTATTTTTAATGGACTGTAAAATAATAATCTATAAGCCCAAATATATTTCAAAATCCAAATTGGTTCCCAAGAAAGTAACTACTAAGATTTAAGGTCAAATATTACTACTAAGTAAAATGATAGGAAAATTACCATGTAAGATGAAAAGCAGGGTGACAAAAACATTGGCCTTAGAGTCACGACACAATTGGGATCCGTTTAAAATAAAATTTTGAAATTTAAAGAAAAAATAGTAAAAACATTAGCATTTAATGTCATATTTTGAAATGCACCTATTTTTGTTTGAAAGATTTTAAAAGAATTTGTAATATTCATCCAAATTTTTTTTAATTAAACACTTATTTTTAACTTTTTATATTATATTAAAAAATAATTTTACATTTAAAATATTCAATTAATACTTATTTATACAGCTATTCTAATTCACTGTTCAAGTCCTAATCCAAATTCCAAACTTCCCAAACAATTTTGTACAAACACAGCTTTAGATTTGTATGAAGTGGGACAGACTCTTCTGCCCCCTCGCCTCCCTGCCCCGCCACCAATATGCACATGTGTATAGATACAGATATATATATATGTATAAGATTGTACATTATACATATATATCTATATGTATAAATATATACACACATGTGAAGAACATGAATTGTTATTCTAATGGTTGTAACTGATTGTTTACTGTGCAAGCTAACTAATGGAATTATTTTCCTCCAAGATTTAGAGCCGAGATTTAGCCGTGCGCACAGAATGATTAAGATTCCTATATTATAAATAAATAAATAAAATAAAATAGGTTAATTTATTTTGGTTTTGGCAACGTACTGTTCCGTTATCCGGAAGAGCAAGGGCAGTTGCCAAAAGCGAGTACCCTGTGTATACACCAATCTCCATTGTTTTCTTAGCGTTAATCAGCTTCAGAAGCATGTTAAGAAACTGCCCCTCATCCGCAGATGTAGTCATGATATTCCTATTCAAATTTGACGAAGTATTCAGATCTACGTCATTCCATTAACAATTTTAATGAAACAATTTGATTGCGACTCACCATGGATGCTCGGCGGTAATTTCTCTGAGCTCTTTCATAGCCTCTGGCTCTCTTGGATAAACACTGGTTTCTAGAATGTACTGTTTGGCAAAAGTAACGAAACGAATGAATCGAATCAAATCAAATCAAATCAAATCATAAAAGGTAAGACAGCAGCAGTAAAAGCTAGCAACTAATTCGATAAGATATTCAACAATTTCGCATCGTTAATACATTCATCATCATCGATTAAAACGACGAAATGAGATTTTCTCCAAAAAAAACACAAAAAACCAGAAGGAAGTTTCACAAACATAATCTGGAATCGATCGATTGACCAAACTTAACCGAATAACAATACGATAGTAGATTGAATCAACCTCTCAGAGTTACAAAATCAAAAATGCCGCAACAAACTATATTTCACTTCAAAAAACCAAAAAGACGCACTCGATCGGAAAGTATCAACCTAACAAAACGGCAAAGCAAAAAAAACACCAAAGGCACAATCCTAAGCTATACCTGGTAGAGAGCATCACTTTGCAGAAGGCTTTTGTGCCCAACCTCCTGATGCCTGACTGCTTGATCGTCCTTGGATTCGCCATTTTGCCCCATTTGAACAAACTTTCCGTCGCAAGCAATTCCGATCTGTGTCCCTCTGTACTTCCGCTCGATTGTATGAGCCTAATATATAGGTGCTTGGTCCGGTTCAGACCGGATGGATATTAGACCGGCCACAAAGGCGGTTCGGGGTTGGTGGACTCAACAATAGTTGGTCAGTGGGACCCACGGCTCAACTGAAGTGGTTGGGCTGTGGTCAACCGATCCATTACCCCTCGATTCTTGTTAAGGTGACGGCACGGTGACGATAGCATTCCGGTACTCTGCTTGCGGTCCACCAACGCCGAGACGTCGTGCAGGGATGTCGTTCACCGGGCTAAATAACGGACAAATAAGATTCATCCACGTGGCACGAATTTGGTAGGAGGTTGGTGGACGACGATAGGTTTGTAAGAGTGGTATCGATTGGGAAAGGGTGTATGTGGGTGCATGCAATAATTACTATTGGATTTCAATAATATTATTATTATTACTATTTCAAATTTTGGTAAATAATAGTAGTAATTATTATTATTATTATTATTATTATTATTATTATTTTCTAAAAAGTAGAGGGAGATCCATACCATGATTTGTTAGTGAGGAGTCATATTCATTACCAACCCAATGAGAAATGCATAGCAATTATTTTATTGTAATTGTCCCTTTAATGGAAAAAGAATATACATAAATGTATATTACTTGTTTTGATACATAATATTAACAATCACCTTTTTTTTTATTACTTTTATGATTATTTTTATAATTTTTACTATAAAAATTAATTAGCTCTCACATTATTTTTATTTATTTATTATTTTTATCAACAACTGATTACCTTAAAAAATAATAATAATAAAAGAAGTAATTAAATATTATTCAATTTTTTTGAAATTTCAAAATTTTAAATTTTAAATTTTTTTTAAAAAAAATCTATAAATATATAAATGTTGATTTATTTCGAATAATTTTAATTTTTAACATAGTAAATTATATGATTTAATATATTAAAATTTATATAAATTTATATTTAAAAATTAAAATATAGTATTATATAAAAATATTATTAGAGAATAAAAATATATAGAAATAAATAAATTATTGTAGTTCTATAAAATAATAAAGGTAACGTGTTCAATGTGATTACTATAACGGATGATAAAGAAAGTAATTAGAATGTTGAGATAAATGACATGGATGAGAGAAATCAAAGAGATAATGAAATAGAGGGAATAACTGCGAATGCTCTTACAAGATAAAAGTAGATGAATCAATTGTGAAGTCTAATAAAAAGGTTACGGTGTGTTTATTTGTAAGATTTTAGTTTTTTGTTTCAGTTTTGTACAGTGACAGTGGCAGAGTCAGAATTTCTTTTTTGGCGGGGGTCGAAATATTTTTTTTTATATAAACAGTATATAATAAATTTAAAATTATATAATATTATAAAAAAATTAAAAAATATATACAAAGAACTTGCTTTTTATCTGGGTTTTTCATAATATTTCAAAATATTTGGAGTATTTGAACCAATTTTTTTAAGTGTTTGAGTTAAATATAAAATATAATAATATTATTATTATTAAATTTATAGGAGTTATCAATTATTTAAATTTTAGAAATTATACAAATATTATATAATAAAAATACAAAAAACTCAAATAATTAGGGGGTACAAAGACCCACCCTTCAAACCCCCTGCTAGCTCCGCCATTGGTTTTGTATAGTAAATTTGAATTGAAATAGTTATTTAATGTGATATAAATATATATTAATGTAATATTTTAAATGTAAAATTAAATTTTTAGTACAATACAATAAATAAAAAATAGTAAGTATCTGATTTGATATTTTTGAAAAAAAAATTAAAAAAAGTAAAATCATGTAAACAATTCTATTAGTAAGCATAGTCTTGATAAATTAAGGAGATCAATGCAGACTGAATGTTAGTCCCTCCGTCCCATGGTGCAACATTTGCTTTTAGCACAGGTTTTTAGGTGGGTAGTATTAAGTATGATAATTTAGAAATTAGGTGATGTGATGGAAAGATAAATATATTTTTTATTTTTTTATTGGGATGATGTGAGGGGATAAAGTGTGGGGTAGAGATTAAGTATAATTAATTATTTCCTATTTTGAAAATATTGCAGGGTGTTTGGGACATACCAAAAAAAAAATGGTGCAGGGTGTTTGGGACGGAGGAAGTATTTTATGACAATTTTGCACTACATTGGATTAAGCTGTACTCCCTCCGTCCCGCGAAAGATGAGTTCTTTTGATAGGGATACGGTATTTTAGGTAGTATAGGTTATTAAGTTATTTGTAATAAGTTATGATAATATTTATTTTTTATATGTGTAGTGCTGTTGGTATTTTAAATATTTTTATAATTATATTTCAATAAAATATATGCAATATGGATATCATTTTGTTGACCATAAAATTTTATATAGTACAAATGAATAAAAAATATATATTTATTTATTTATTACCACAAAGTAGTTGTTGAGATATTTTAGATATTCAATTTTAGATTTAGTAGATTTATATCTAAATTTGGTCGTATCCATAGATTAGATTACTTAGATTTGAGTTTATTTTGTATTGCCTATATATAGGCTTCTTATTTTGATAATCAGATACAATCTCATTATTTTCCCCGAAAATTTCTAACATGGTATCAGAGCATGGTTTTCCAAAACCAAAACCCTAGTCGTCGCCGCCGCTGTTCGCCGTCCATCGTCCGCCTTTCTCCGGTCGTCGTTTTTTTTCGGTCGCCGCCTCTTGCTTTGTTTCCTACGTCATGGTGTGGTTGGCTTTGTCATCGGAGTTGATCTCGTTTTGCGACTGCTACCTATTGGATTGTTCGATCTACTTTTTTGATTTGGGCTTTGATCTCGTGATTCACATATTTTTATACATTTTTTTGTTTGGGAGCGTATGGACGTTCATTTACCTATTACTACTATCTTGTCTAGCGATAATTATGATCTTTGGATCCAGTCTATGAAAAGTTTCTTGATTGGTAGGAAGTTATGGCGAATTGTCACTGGCGATATCTGGCCACCTGTCTCTCCATCTCCTTTTGTGCATGTTGATCCCACCTCTCGGGAGCATGAAGATTATGTTGCCAAATTGGAAGATTGGGATAGTAAGAATCATCAGATTCTTAGTTGGTTGCGCAATACTTCTGTACCTGCGATTCAAGTACAATTGACTCCTTTTGATACTGCAAAGGAGGCATGGGATTTCCTCGCTGCTCGTTTTCAGACTACAGGTCTTGCTCATTATTATCAGCTTTGGACCACGATGAGCTCCACCCGACAGCAACCTGGTCAGTCTGTTAATGAATTTCTTGCTCAGGTTCAGCCTATTCGTTATCGTCTCCGGCAGTCACAAATTAGTCAGGACCATCTTGACCTTATTCAGATCTTGATGGCCTTTCGACCTGAATATGAGGTTGTTCGTGCCTTACTCCTACATCAACATCCATTGCCTACTCTTGATGTTGCCATTCAGGAGATTACTTTTGAGGAGACCCGTTTCCAATTAGCTAAGACACCGAGTTCTGATTCTGCTTTAGCTGTGTCTCGTCAGTCCCGATCTGCTCGTACTGGATGTCGAGTTTGCAAGTCTCCTGATCACACTTGGTCTACCTGTCCGAAGATTGAGTGCCACTTATGTCGTCTGTGTGGCCATATTGCTCCGATCTGTCCCACAAGATCTCAATGTTCAGGTAGTTCTACTCCTAGACATTCCGGTACCTTTGCTCCCAAATCTCGGGAGCCTAGTGGGTCTTCTTCGACTGCATTTTCTACGATTACGGCTGATACTACTGATGAGAGTCAGCATGCGCTTTACAATCCTCACGACATAGAAGCCATCATTAAATAGGTTATGCAAACCAATTCTGCTATGTCTACCACTCCAGGTACATCTACTTGGTATTTTGATTCTGGTTGTTGTCACCATATGACCTCTAACCCTCGTAACTTGACCTATATGTCCCCTGTCTCCCATTTACCACCTATACATACTGTCAATCGTACTACCATGCATATTACCCACACCGGTCTTGCGTCCTCCTCTTTCCTATATCTTCCTGATACATATTGCATCCCTGACTTAGCCTTAAATCTTATCTCTATTGGTCAATTAGTTGAACAAGGTCTTACTGTTACATTCTCTTCTGATGGTGTGCAGGTTCAGGATTCTCAGACGGGTCAGCTTCTCGGGACGGGACGCAAAACGGGTCGGTTATCTGAGCTTGAGTCTCTTCATACCTCCTGCACATATCCTCGCTCTGCAGCTCTTACCTCTGATTCCTTTAGTCTTCATTGGCATCTTCGTCTAGGTCTTGCGTCTTCTAGTAAGCTCCATTTACTCCATACTAAAGGTCTTTTAGGTCCAGGTCGTTTTGAGTCTTTAGAGTGTGTCGATTGTCAATTTGGCAAACAACCTGCTCTTAGTTTTTCAGAAAGTTCATCTATTGCTACTGAACCTTTTTCTTTAGTCCATTCTGACATTTGGGGTCCTTCTCATGTTGCGTCCGTCAGTGGTTTTCAGTATTATGTTATATTTATTAATGATTTTTCACGATTTACTTGGATTTATTTTTTGAAAAATCGTTCTGAATTACCTTCTATATATGCTCAGTTTGCTCAGATGATTCACACTCAATTCTCCAGTCCTATTAAAATCCTTCGTACTGATAATGCTTGTGAGTACAATACGTCATCATTTTTGCAGTTTTTATCTAGTCAGGGTACCTTGGTACAGCGTTCCTGTCCTTATACGTCCCAAAAAAATGGGCGGGCAGAACGCAAACATCGTCACATTCTCGATACTGTTCGTGCCCTTCTTCTTTCTGCTAAGTGTCCTAATCGTTTTTGGGGGGAAGTAGCCTAAACTGCTGTTTACAGCATTAATCGGTTACCCTCGTCAGTCCTCCATGATGTCAGTCCCTTCGAGCGTCTATTTGGTCAGTCTCCTGATTATAGTTTATTCAATCCATTTGGTTGTGTATGCTTTGTCCTTCTCCCTCCCCATGAGCGGACA